ACCAGAACGGACTGCACTGGTGTAAACAGAGCCCAGAAATACCATATGAATACATTGGGATGCATTTCAGTTGCGGACAAAAACCGTTCTGGTCTGGATCTGGTCCAGACATGGTATGAACGAGTCCTCTAGCAATCTGGCTGTCCACAGGGGACCGTCCGCACATGTACAGCTCTGTAGAGGAAGCCATGCTCAACTACAAAGCTGAATATTCCATAGTAAGCAATCATGATGTTTCACTTTTTCCAGAAAAGGGGGGAGCTGATTGGTTGCTATGACTTGCTGCTCCTTGCCTTAGTTGTTCTTAGTGCATTATACTGAACGGAGAACACAATTTAACATTAATAAGGATTACTACTCACTTTGGTTCCTCAGAATTAAACAGGAAATCAAAGTCATCATCAAAGTGAAAGTCCACTGGACTGGAGGGGATCTCGATTGGACGGTAGAACCTAGAGAATGTCTCCTCATCATCCAACTTCATCACTTCTTTCACAGTTTTACTGGTGACCTTAAGTGTTGAGTCCTGCAGACCTCCAACTGATGAGATATATACAAATTAGTGCAAATAGAGCAGATACAGGGAGGATTAACAAACAAAAGAGAAAATAAGAGACCAGTGGGGATGCTAAGCAGGGGATACAGCCAAGCTGGACTTCTATACAGAATCCTATATAGCTTCAGCTTACTATGCAGTGTTTCTATACCTACTGTTGAGATGCAACAGAGTCTGATTTACATTCAACAGTGTCAAGGTACCAACGATCATAAACTAGCATTGACTATAAGGTATGTACTACTCTCTGGTATTGTAATGCCAGTCTTCCTCTATGAAGGGTTTATCAGCATGCATTTACAGCTGCACCAAATATAATATTCTGGGTTTTATTATGTACCAAAGTTGGGGACAATGTAGAAGGGCCAGTTAAAAAAAAAAAAAAGCTTCATCACCTAAATGGACCTAGGGCAGCACCATCTCCATGTACAGCCTTTCAATACAACCCTTATTTCCCCCACAATTAAATATAGCTAGACTGATTTTTGGTAGAAGACACTTCCTTTGCTATGGGTTTTGGTTGATTCAGCAAGAACTGTATATGTAATATTAATGCACAGTACATTCCATCCACTTTTCTCCAACACCACTTACCTTTGTTGTGTAGCCTGCCCAAAAAGGATTCTAGTTTATCTAACTTCCTATCAGACTCCAGATGCAGGTCAGGTCTGGCTTCAATTTCTAGAGAAAGGAAAGTAGAATTTCAGGCTATAGCTATGATCCCTTTCTTCTACAAACCCGAAATGGAGCAAAGCATTTATCCACCTAAGCCTTGACCCAAGCTGAAAAAAATAACGTACGCTGATCTCCGCAATCCAATGTTACCCAATTACTTCAATTGTTTACCTTACCAAAAGAACGTAATTTGGCACCCATCCTATGCCTGGTCACATAACCAATGCCAAAGCATATTTCACTTGACTTGCCAATTGCCTTGACATCACCAAGTAGTGGAGGGAAGCAGGTTTTTAGGTAAACTTTTAGAATCTGCAATTACAGTTTCATCATATCATGAAACCTGTAATCTACTTTTTCAGTTTAGGTCTGTTTTGAAGGGAAACTACAGTGCATTGCATCAAGTAAACGTCTCATCACTGTAAGGCCTCATTCACACCAGGGTGGCAGCATTTCAGCATTTTTAATCGCGTTTCCTCGATGGAATGCAATTAAAAAGTAGCTCAGGGAGCATTTTGGTTGCAAGGTGTTTCAGATCACGTGGATCCGCACGCTTGCATGAATGGTCCTCATGGAAATGTATGGGATTGTTCATTTAGGCGGTTCAGCGAGGAAAAATCTGTGCGACCGAAAGGCCCTGGTGTGAACGGGGACTAAAATTTAAATAAAATTTTTTTTTGTGATCCTTTTATTACATCTTTACACACATCTATTTTAAACACTTTTTCTCGATTCCATTACAGAATTTTACATACATATTGCTATAATCTCCATCTACTGGGTTGTACATATATTTATGATCCTCCTGAACTACTAAGATGACTGAAAATAGACTTTATGTGGCTTATTCTGTAAATTAGAGCAAACAAACTAGAAATGAGAGCAAGGGTCAGTAAAACACATCCACTAAGCAGGAAGTAGAGCAATGTTGAATATGGAAATGTGTGTCTATAACTACAAAGTTAGCACACACTGATAACTATTTAAGTTAAGCTTTCCCTGATCACATATATAGCCAAGCAGCTTTTGTGCATTATAATGCAGAGATCATAAGATATCGATTATCTTCATTCTAAATGCCTCTGTTTTCTATCCCAGAAAACCATTAGTAAGGAGACCATTTCTACCTCTGGACTCCAGATGGAGCTAGGTCATTAGGAAAGAGTTACAGCAAGCAAAACAAGTCTAGCCAAAAAACCCATGGTGTGTGGTAACAGGAGCGTAGACAAGAGCCAAAAAAACCCATGGTGTGTGGTAACAGGAGCGTAGACAAGAGCCAAAACTTATCAGCTGGATGCAGAAACAGCAAAACTGAATAGAACGCTCACATCTTCTACTATACACAATACAAATCTTTAATGCTTTAATGTGCAACATTTGTCTTTATTTTCACAGTTTATAAACTAAACACAGCTGTAATTGTATGAACTCTTTAGGGCCCATTCAGATAGGAAATACCAGGTACATGATGGTTTAAAAGGTGTCTAGTAGCATTCTACCTATAATCGTCAAGCGTTTAGGGGTATATCATGGTTTCTGGGCTTTGAGAACTCTTAAAAGCAGATATGTGCATTCACAAGGATGAGCAATTGTAAGCATTTAGCATTGACTACAATGGCAGGTGAGAATACATGTATATAGCCGTCTCATGGTCTGCACATCACAATACAGAGATGTGTTGAAAAAAAAATAAAGGCTGCATGTCCAGTTTTAGTGTGTTGCAGTTCTTTGCCAGCTGATTAGTGGGTGGCTGCTTAATGCAATGCAAGTTCATCTCACAAGTGTTACTGCAATGCTCTGGTGTGAACTGGGCCTAAGGCTCGGTTCACACCAAACTGCTGGGGTGTGCTGCGGTAATGCACATATGTTAACACTAGGGATGCACCGATACCAGTTTTTCGGTACCGAGTACGAGTATCGATACTTATATTTCAGTACTCGTCGATACCGGTACTTCCGGTAGCATAGCCAGGAAGCCTTCTGGATTGCCTGGGAAGCGGACTGCAGGCACCTGTTAAAATGATTTTGCAGCACCCAATCGTAGAGGGCACATGGAGAGTTCAAGGCTACAATTTTTAAACCCGATCACAACGGCACCAAAAATTTGACGTACCTTCGGTCGGTTTGGAAACAGCATTTGTAGATTTTGGTTTAAGAGCCAAAGGTGATGCGACAGGCGTTAGAACTGTAGGTGAAGCCAAGCCTAGATGGAATATATATATATATATATGTAAATATACACAAATTATTACCACAAACAGCATTTTATAGGAAACATAGGTACAGTGAAAAAACTTTTATATCATATCTATCTATATCAACAGATTTGGGACACACACCTTTTTTAACCATGCGGCCAGCAACAGAGAACTGGGTCGAGTCATTGGCAGCACCTAAACCTTTGGACTTCCAGGCCTCTTCTCTTACTGTGATCTGCTGCTTCCTTTCTTCAATGCTCATGTGCAGCCCACTTGCAGAAGTCACTCTTTGCTTTAAAAGACAAATACTACAGTCATTTAATCTATTAGAGCTAAAGGCCTTCAACCAAAGAAAACTGCTATATCCAGAACATTTTTTTAAAACCAAAAATGGGATGCTTTAAAAGCTTTTTTTGACAAAAGAAAACATTTGCCCCTCCTATATTTACTGATATATTTAGGACCACATGCTGCCTTAAAGAAGTCAGCTGACAACTGTTCTCTTAAAAAGTTGTGAAAAAAACTTGATTGTTGCTTAAAGATATATATTTTAGCATAATTGTTTTATTCTGATCTCATCCAGTGATGAACCCCTGTCTGTTTTCCTTCTCTGTATCAGAAACAATGGTTGTATTTTGCAAGGCCAAAACATTTTACACAAAGCTCCTTGGCCAGTTAAAAAAAAACTTTCCCTGGAATAAAAACTTGTAAATATGGCCTGCCTGTCTACATATCTGCCCCAGCCCTTGCTCTCTTAAAGAGCTAAAACGTGCTATTGAATCTTCAGCATTTGACAACACTTTTCGTCCCCCAAACAAGTCAAGGTGAATGCGAGAGCAACTCGGAAGCAGCTCAAAGCCACTGCTTGAGTGGCTCAAAGGCAAATCAAAAGCAACTTAGAAGCACCTAAAACCATATAACAATTCACTTATATATACATATAGCATTATATTGGAAGCAGCCAGCAAAAGCAGCCTTGCATGCTTCTTTTTGGACAGGTTTAATATAAGTAGACAGGTGTAGAATTGTATCCAACACAGTAGACATATAATGCTGCTGACCGTGTACTAAGCAGACAAATGCAGACGCTCCCATGCTGTCAATTACACTGTAAGGCACCTTCTGACATAAGGAGATGATAACCACAACATGATGAAAGCATCCTTGGTATTCTACTTCAGAAAAAAGAACATCTGTGTCACTTTATAGGAAACTGTTTGAAAGCATCTAAGATCTACTGCAGAAGAGCTTATGCAGCCTGAGTATTGAATATTCGGCATGCTTGTAATCTATGCACAATGGGGTGAATATAGGAAGCGAAAGGGAGTCTGCACCCATACTGGTCTGGTTTCATCTGTCTGATGAAGTAACAGTTTATATATTAAAACTACTTTTAGATCTCTGTTCCAATGTCGGCAGCCATTCACAAGATCATGTACATTGCAAGTTTGATGTCCTAAACCCAGAGAATATATGTCCAGAGCAGGTAGATGGTTTTCAGTTTTTGGACAGGGGGAGGGATAAAATATAACCTCAATTGTGTAAGGCCATGCTGGTGTTTTAGCACTGGGTCCCTAAGAAAAGGAAAACTCTGTACATACATCAAATGAGGCATAGAAATGTACCATAGTGTGTCAAACAATGTGTAGAGATAGGATCACGTCTCGGGGCTTCATACAAGCGATCCGCCGGCTCTATAGCCGGCGGATCGCTTGTATATTAACGGGCATCGCTGCCTCTTTTCAAATAGCGGGGATTTCGCGCGCGCCGCACGGCGCTCCCGAGCGGGCGGATGTAACAGGACGTGTATACACGCCCAGTTGCATCCAAAAAGCTCACGGCAGGCCGTGTATACACAGCGGCTGGCCGGGAGGTAGTTAAAGCAGTTCAAGTAGATCCCATTGCACTCCTGACTGGACATAACCCAAGATAATGGGTGGGTCTGAGATGACAGCAGATGCCTCTGCAGATCAGTATCGCGTAGTAGAAAAGTCACTCGCACTCCAATGAGAATGTCAGTCAATTTTCACAGAATTGTCACATCGTATAGCAATGTTTCGGAAACCGTATAGGTCCCTTCTTCAGGCAAACGTTTGCTTGAAGGTCCCTATACGGTTCCGATACGATGTAACAATTATTTTCTCAATAAAGAACATTGAATGAAATGCTCATTAGAATGCAGGTGACTTTTCTACTACGTGGTTTTGAAAGCAGAACTCGACAAAAATAGAAATACATAGCTTATTAGCAGATTAAAAAACAAAAAACACCTATTGCTGCAATACTCGCCTCAAATCCGGAGCGGTCCCTTGCAAAAACGTTTGAATCCAGGCGTAAAGCATCCTTCAACCCACTTCCTTGGAGCCCAGGCTGTCATGTCTCCATGAACAGACTGGCTCCTTGTGGAGTTTCTTTCTCTTCCTGTCTTAGCTCTGCAGTACAGGGACTGCTAGAGGTTGTAAAAAAAATAAGTTTAAGGATATAATAATACAGGGGTAAGCAACCTTGGCACTCCAGCTGCAGTGAAACTATAAATTCCACCGTGCTTTTGCCTCTGGGAATCAAGCCTGTGGCTTCCTCATTGCAGAACTTCATTAAATGGTGTCTTTTATATCACCCTAGAGTTTAGCTTTAAGTAAAATAAATATTTTTGCTAGACAGTAAAATTCCCTTTCAATGACTCTGGCTAGTAGGCAGATCTTGGAACCACTGGGTTACAAGAGAGATATAAGAAGCAGGTGATGCAACGGACTGGAATCTACCCGATAGTGAAACATCAGTTTTGGGTAGGCTGGCCACAGCGGAATGAAGGAAAATTTAAGAGTCATAATTACACACGCATGTAAAAGGTTGTCTATTATTTCAGTAACATTATAAATAAGGAAAAAATGTGCAGCTCTGATGTCTCATTGTCTAGAAACTAAACACTTTCGATATTAGCTGAAACATCCCAAGCCAGTCTTTCACTCATTATTTCTGAGAACATCTGGAATGATAAATGACCCCGAGTAGAGTATTAATACTCCAGGGATTAGTTAAGGGAATGAACAGAACCACAGCCTGTCAGCGAAACATGAAGGGGTTAGTCCATTAAAATCTGCTGTATTCATAAACATCCATGACTACCTAATAACACAGAGGAAAGGTGCAACGTACAGTGATCCAGAGATTCACTCACGGAAGACAAATGAATGTTCATTTCTGATTGGTTGGTACACAGTGCTGCTGTATTCAACTGTTACTGATCATTGCAGCTCTAGGTTTTCAAAAAAAAAATGTAATCTCATGTGGGCAGGCAAAGTATAATACCATCATGCAGTTGCATCTGGAAGCTATGCTTGTAGCAGTCAGAAACTTGCAATGCCTTATGGGATTTGTAGTTGCGCCAGAGCTGGAGGGTCAGTGTTTCCCTACCCCTGCCCTAGACTTTACTAGCATTTAACCCGTGTGTGTGTGTGTGTGTGTGTGTGTGTGTGTGTGTCATTAAAGGGTAATTTTTTTTCTTGTGCCCAGTGTTGGGCTTTAAATTGATATATGTTGCAACTCTTAAGCAAGACATTGAAGAGTAGGTCTGAACCAAGGACATAAGCATCAACTTCCATGGGGCTATTCAAGCTGTCAGTGCTCAGCAGCCAGCGGCCCCTGCAAAACAGGATGAAAGGGTGGGAACTTCCTTGTCATTACACAAAGCAGGCTTGTACATAATGCAGGATCTAAAAAATATTTTTTAATGTGCTCAAGTAGTGGGGGTAACCTCAGACTCTTCATCGACGAGCTTATATTCCCAGGAAGATGGCCGAGCACAGATGGAGTTGAGCCCAATCCAGGGCAGTCTAGACACATGGCGTTTGACCTTTTTTTGCTTTAGTCTGTCTCTACAAGGCAGATGGAAGGGGTCTAATCTGTGATGTCCAGGATCTGTTCCAACTGACATTAGCGGACTACCTGTGCCAAACACACTTCAAACGGGATTAGACTAAGTGAATTAAGGACAGAGGGATCCCACAGTTGGCTTGGAACAGGGCCGGCAGTATGTAAACAATAAGCAGGGAAGCATTAAACTAATTTAGAAGGATGTTGTAAAATTGGTTTACTAAACCGATACACAAAAGGATCAGAGGATAGGCTCAATGTATAATAATCTTTATACACATTTATACCCAAACTACATTCTACTTTGTCTAAAACTTTTGATACCACAACTTACCGCTGTGTCACACTATCTGACAAAAGTATATTTTCACACATTCTGTACATATATGTACACTGTATCTATGAGCATACAGTGCGTCCTTCCAATACCAATCTTAAAGTAGAACTAGAGTCAAAACTATATTTAGTTCTGAACAGAGTGGTGACCATTATTACAGAGAGTGGAAACAAATCCTAAATTTTGACTTGGCACCGGAATAGATGGGAAATTTTCCAATGGTGACAATTAGGGATTTCCCTCCTCACTTTGAAGGGATTTCCTGTAGTGGCTATGGGACAAGAAGTAGAGGGAAAGATCTCCAATGGGACATATCTGTATAGCTGTAGGTTTTAAAAGCTGCTAGTGTATGTGCCTGGATCTGCACTTATAATAACTTCATGTAATCAGCGCAGCAGTACACACACACACACACACTGGGAATGAAAGGGGCAGTAATGTCATCTAACACTGGAAGTCTACTGACAGGATGGGAGGGAGGAAAGATGATCAGCGTAGAGCTGTTCTTCAATGTTCAACTATCGGAGTAAAAGCTGATGTATTGCTTAAAAGAGAACTAAAGCCAAACCTGTTTTTTGGCTTTAGTTCTTTTCGGGTCACATGAGCCCATTGAGTAACAGACTCCCGTGACCCAAACTCAGCAAATAGCAGGCTACAGCCGCTATATGCTGACAGCGCAGAGCCGCACTGCAGTCGGTATCCACCCCGCTGCCTGATAATTGGCTCTACCTCTCTATAGCCAGAGCCAGCAGTGCCCACCCCCTCCCCATCTGTCTCTCCAATTAGTGCTGGTGGAACAGAGTGGGGAATCCCTGCAGGAGGGGGAAATTGGGGGGTGGGGACTGACAGTCACTGCTCTCTGCAGGGAGAAACCGTGAGCTGAGTGATCAGCAGTTTTGATCGCTCAGTTCTTGAGCTATAGAGCCGACATGTGACGCTGCAGTGTTACACGTCGGCTCAAACTATTGGAAAGAGTAAATCATACTCTCCACACAGTTCTCCCTTTACAGTTATCCTTGACATTTGTTTTGCTATCCCATCAAATACTTGTTCTTAGGGGCGGTTTGTAAACCCTTTTCTTGCTAGGCTAGTAGTATTCACATTCAAATGGACTTTTTCAGTTCTAATAATGGGTCAGCAATATACCACAGCATTGGGCATCACCAACCAATTCCATAAAAAATGTCCTCTGCACAACAAGGTTTTAAGGGTACTTTACTTCATCACAATCACACACTAGTGTGCAACATTGGTTCAGCTCAGTTATAACATCTGGATAAAGGGTCCTCCTCTGCCCTGAAAACATTTCCCACCATATTGTCCAATAAAGATGCAATAAAACAACCTTTTTAAACCTTGACTTTGATGTGCATTAGACATATCTTACAAAGGCAGAGCAGACTTTTAAGAATGCATTCATTGTGCCAACACTACTATGCATATCTGAATTCACCTTCCATCGCCAAGGATGCCGCTCGGCAAACATCAGTGGACTGGACTCCCTCATGCTATTATTACTGACCTTGAAAGTAAAGAAAGAAAATACAGAAGAATAAGGAAAGAACGAGAAACAGGACAGAAGTATAGAAAAGCCATAGCACACCAAACAGCCTCTTCAGGACATTAGCTAGAGCTCAGGTGTAACGCAAACCACTAACAAGAGGTTTCTTTGGACCATACAGAACACAATCACCGGTGGAACATTTAGCAAGTTAAGGATACTTGGTAATGGTGACATGTATGAATAGGAAAGCCATCAAAATTAACACATAGAAGCAAAAAGTATTAGTTCGGAGATAAGCAAAGCCAGTATATACACAACTCCCATTAGTGTTAGCCTAGGTAATTCCCCCCATGCCATCTGAATATAAGCTCAGCCCCCCTAAACTGCAGCTGTACTGAAGGGTTAACCAGGACTTTGTACAATGAAAGGTAGGTGTGTGTGTGTGTATGCGTTTGTGCACAAACATTAAAAATATGTATGAAGGTTCGAGGCTTCAATATTTTCAGATGATTTAATATTAAAATATTGAATGTAAAATGCCATTTTATTACCAAAAAATATGTATGGGTCATAGGACCTTAGAATTAAGAACCTAGGACCTGATGGCCACATGCAGGGTCTGTTTAAAGGTGCACACTGTTTTCTCACCTGGTTTATGGGAAGGAAATGCTGGCATTTAAAGGCAGCAGGTATAGCAGGAGAGTAAACAGAAGCATACACAGGTTCCTAAAGACGGAGGCAGAAGCAAAGCATGAAAAGAGGTAATCATGAAAAGGATTTGTTTTTTATTGGTTAACAATGCAGTGTTGCTAACTGGCCGTGGGGGCAATATGCTTCATGGGCATGGTTTAAAAGGATGGACTTAAAATAATTTTAAAAGCCATGCCCATGCATCCTTTCTCCAATACTGTATTTAAATGGTCAGTCAACCCAAAACTGAAATGTCAGTTGTTAGTAGGTGCTAGACAAAACTCTATAGTTTTATATCTCTCTCTGTAATTCTATTGGTAAGATCTCTAGTTTTGACATCCTAACACCTGCTGTGGCCATTTTCAGGGCTTTTCTTTATACTGAGAATACAAAATGGGGAACTAGTACATACAAAGGTGGGCAAGAACAAAACTCCCAGGAGGACAGGGACAGAGTCAGTACTTATGGCAGAGAGATCTTGTTGATAAGAGTATCCAAGATGCGTTAAAAAGCCAGAGGCTGACTTGGCCCATTAGGCTTTACCTAAATCATAATTTTTGGGTGGACTGACCCTTTAACAAGAACATTTCCATTAAATAAATGGATAACAAAAGTTTCTTAATTTTCCAGTCCACCCCTACATAACTACAGTTTGCCCTGATAGCACAAATCTATCTTTACAATGTAACATACCAAAAACTCCCAAGGGGAATAATCATAGACTGGAGTTGGGAAACCTTATAGTGTTTAACCTCAGGAATCTGAAAGGAGTCTATTCAAATACAGATAGCAAAAATGTTTACTGGCACCAACAAATGACGGATATGATTTTGAGAGAAGTAACAATAGTCCTAGCAAATACTGGTGCCAGCTCTTCCAAGCGGCATCAAGCAAATGACAGCGCATAGCCAATTAAAAACACTATTGTCAAGCCGTTATGGCATAGTCCAGCTTACCCACAGCTGATTACAGTGGACATAATCATCTTTATTATTTCGTTCTCCCTACAGGTCAAAACAAACAGGGTGATGAGGAATGATGTTGAAGCCAGTAAAGCCATCACAGGTTGGTGCACATACACAAACACAGAACTTCCTCACATCTAAATGGAGCGATGGCTTTTCATCCATCACGAGTTAAGCAGCATTAATTATAAATTTTACAAGGGAACCATTGCACAACAGCAGCTAAGCTTCCAAACATGTGGAATCCATTTCTAGCCATTTGTAAACATGGCATTCACCAATAAGATTTCTTAGAATAGTGAGCACAAGTAATCTAGTGTGGCAAAAAGCCATTTATATATGATGCATTTCTATAATGATGAATATGTTCCAGAACCTGCTTACAATATGAGAGGGAACAGAGGTTCTACATTTGAATATTCCTATATTAACATCCCAAATGTCATCACTATGCTGCCGAGTTACATTGCTAACCTCTGGTATAAACACTTAGCAGTCATGCATAAATGACTTCGCAAAACCGATTTCCATTTTGTCATTTACACTTTACAATTTTCAATTACAATTACATAACACACAAGTACAGCCATTTCCTTACAACAAAACACAAAAATTCTTATGTGAAAGTTTGGAATGTTTTAAAAGACATATACAAAAGGAAAGCAAAATGGACGGGGTTATTTTGTAGTCTGATCAGCTAACGCATTACCTTACATACCTCAGGGATATCAGAGAAATGGTGACTTCTCACAGCCATTTTGGGGGGTAGAGTCCAGAAACGTCACCAGCACACACCACGTGCTGATGATGTTTCCGGACTCTATGTGATGGTGTGCTGGTGACGTTTCTGGACTCTATGTGACATTCATGGTGCCACTGGTGTCACTTCAAGCACCCGTCTGATCTTACCAATTCCAAATAATAAACCTGTAAGGAGTGCAACAGGACATATCGATACTTCGCCATTATGGGGGGTGCCTTCTATATCCTGCTGAATATTTTATATATTGCAAAATGTAGCAGGAGTGAGGCGTTACACCCACAATCACAAGAACAGTGGTAGCAGAGCCAAACTATGTCAAAAAAATAAATCCATTGGAGTCCCCTAAACATATAGAAAGCTGAGGAGACCGCAACTGCTGTGGGGCATCTGCCCCTTGGGCCTTTACGAATAAGATATTTTGAACCGAGGGGAGATACTTAACCATTCAAATCTCATAGTGGAACCTCCAGTCAGTGATACAAAATGAGCATTAAACAGCTACTTGTACCACAATCGCACAAAAGCATGTCCCAATAAACTGTTCTTTAGGAAGCACCATGGCACACTGTGGGGCACTTTCTTTACCCCACAAAGCATGTCTCTACCATGAAAGGTAGAATGGCTTGGGTTTGCCCACCAAAAGTTCCAAGGGCTCCTGTGAGAGGATTTCACTTTTTGAAAGATCGTTTTCATGAGTGATGTATTCATACACATATACAGGTATCTCCCATTTAACATGTAAGAATAATATGGGAGACACATGTATTAGTAGTTTCCCGGTTTAAAAGGGGATGTTTAAAATAAATGTTTTATTAGAATATCAAACCTGAGAAATAGATTTTTAATGTTACTGGTTCATCTAAAACATGTACATATTAGGGGCTCCTACACTGTGACACAGATGGGTATAATGTACCAAACATTTACATAGATATACCAACTACGTGGAATCCATGTAAAATGGGACCATGACAAGGAGGCTGCCTGTATTAAATACACTCCGCTTTAAAAACATAAATGGCATTCCCTGGTGAATGTGTGTCCTTTTTTGCACATTATTTCCATGCAAGCTTTTTATGTGGTCTTTAATATCTATAAAACTCCTGACATCAGACGTTAAACCAGTTGCTTTAAATATATGTTACAGTAACAGACCCTTAAAATGAAGGCACTTTTGCTTACACTATACCAAAAGCTTTTACATATTTATATAAGCCATGTATACATTGTACTAGGGTCTGTACTTCTTCTAAATGAAAGAGTACAGTTAATCTAGTCTGTCTGACTGGAGAAGGCCAGTGACCCAATGTTAAGTAATGCAGTACTCCAAGATTCAAAGTAAGACAGATTTACATTTACAGGCCAAACAGGTCTGCAATTAGGGACAACGATACATATTAAACAAATCTTTTCCCTAAAGGTGTGCCCTTGGATTGAAATATTGTAGCCTCATTTATTCAGGTACAGCACCCAATACATCCTGAGAAATAATGTGATGTACATGCACATTTACTACTCTTAAAAGTAGAAAACCAATTTAATTGTATTTTCCAGCTGTAGTTGCCCTGTCAACACTTCCCGTATGTATTCTAGCAAAAGATGATATTTACTGACAATAAATTAAGGCTCAGCAGGTGCAGAGTATAGGGCTAGGTGTGATGCAAAATACATAAAACTCTTCCTGTTGAAAATCCTCTTTGAAGACCCAACATAATTCACTGACTATACAAATGGATGCTAGATACATATACCACATTCAGAATCCCTTTGTGAATCTAAGACGATGGGGCTTGGCATCTAAAGGAAGGAATGAATGGAGCACATAGACCAAGGTACTGTGATAAATGGTTTATACCATTGTGCTCCCTCTTCAGCTCGGGAACTTCCACTAGAGTGGACATATTATTCATATAAGAAAATGGATAATGTAGCAACATCTCCTTATGCATGTGGCTTTGAACTACGGACCGGCCATGCTTGTTGCTATGAAAATACTGCAGAAATTTGTAGACAGTCAACACAATTCAGTTAGGAATTGTCTGCAATATGTTCATTTTGTAACCTGCTCTCCACAACTTAGAGATCAACCACATTGTAAGCATTGCCTGAAGCCACAACCAGGTCACCCACAATGGTTTCAATTGCTTTTAGTCATATAGCTGTTTTTCAGTGTTCAAATGATCCATCTCTATCAGACAATCTTCTCTATGTATCTCCATTACTGCCCATCCCTTCGTAAGCAAAATGTCAACTTTATGCTGGAGTGTGGCAGCTTAGTTTACAACAGATTGCAGGTAGTTACACAATGGCTAAATTGAAAAAAAAAACATTAGATTTTTTTTGTTTTTTAAGGAACACGTTAAAAAAGCTAATAGGTGATTTTACATATATGTCCGGAAATACTTTACCATAATGTTGAAAAGCTATTCCAGGCAGTCACAGCAGCCTGGCACATGACCAAATGCAATGGAATTCCAATTATTCATTGGTGGCACTGCTAAATTGTGATCCTCACGTGACGAACGTGACGAGTATTGTTAGGTGACCACTTGCTGTGGGAGCCAGGCGCAGTGTTTTGTGCAAGATTAGTACCACAAGGACTTAAAGTGGAAATAAACCCACAGATTTAACCTTTTTCCAATAAGAAATCTTGTTAGAAATGTTCAATGATTATTAAAACCTTCAAGGATAAGTGCACTTTAAAACAAAGTACACATCCTGGCCCTCCCCTGACCTAACAGTTCCCACCCTTTCCCTCCACAGATTTATACTTGCCTCAATCTTATCCCCTCAGCCACCAGGGATGGTTTACATTCCGTGTAACAAATCCGCTTTCTCATGGCTGTGCCTGTGCAGTGGGGGTTCACAGACCTCTATGGGGCTTGTCTACCTCCATCTCTTAGCTGGGAAATGAGCCCCATAGACTTCTATGGTATTCTATTGCCCAGGTGCCATCAGGAGAGAGAGAGGACTTGTGGAGCAGGATGTAAATATCCAGCGGCCGTGAGTGTTGAATCTTGGTAATAGAACTGTAATGTCTTATATTGTAAAGCGCTGCGCAAACTGTTGGCACTATATAAATCCGGTATAATAACAATAATTATGCATCTGGGGAAGGTAGAATCTGCAAGTGCCCTTATTCTTAAATCAAACACAAAAATCTTGTTTACTGTAATGTTTTAATTTACATTCTGCCTATTAGCGCACAAGCAGTGTACACTACATCCAAGGCATGCCTCTGGTGATAAATGTCAGTTGTCAGTGTGCTTAGGTCAGCTCTCAACTGAACTTTTCAAATGGCTCATGTC